CTGGCTCAGAGCTACACTGCATTTTTAATAAGCCTCATGTTAGCCTTGTTTAGCCTTTGTATTTTAGGCAGGACTCTCCTAAAGCTTTTAAATCTGAGGGCTTGGTAGGTCCTAGTCTCCTTAACCTCCTACCTCATGCAGCTTCAAATTTTCACAGATGGCTTGAGGAGAAGACTGGCTACTTATTTTGGGCAGTCGCCCGTCTCTGGTGGGCTTTTCATTCCTAAGTACCACAGACACTGCAGATACTTCACTCTTTCAGCTTTTATTCTAACCACCCAGAGTTCTGCACAGCCCTAAAATTCAGCAAATGTCCCAGGAGAGGGAACCAGCTGTGTGCACTTGAAGCTTCTCAAGTTGCTAATCTGCCACATCACCTTCAAATGACCGCAAAAACTTGAGATTTCCCTCTGGAATTTTGGTCCATTTAGTCATCATTGCTTCCACAGTTCAAATATGCCTTTAAAAATATGATTTTTGAGGGGCACCTGGGTGGCTCGGTCGGTTGAGCACCTGACTCTTAATTTCAGCGCAGGTCATGATCTCATGTTTGGTGGGATCAAGCCCCACATCGGGCTCCATGTTGGGAGCACAAAGCCTGCTTGGGATTCTCTCTCTCTTTCTGCCCCTACTCCGTTCACACTCTCAAATAAATACACATTTAAAAAACAACAAAAAACTACTAAAGGGGCGCTTGGGCTCAGTTGGTTAAACATCCGACTTTGGCTCAGGTCATGATCTCATGGTTTGTGGGTTCAAGCCCTGCATTGGGCTCTGTGTTGACAGTGTGGACCCTGCTTGGAATTCTCTCCCTCTCTCTCTGCCCTTCCCCGGCTCGCATTTTCGCTCTCAAAAATAAACATTAAAAAAAAAAAACCTAGTAAAAATATATTTGTATTTTATCTGCTTTATCTGGTTGTTGCCACAATACTTCATCCTATTTGAAAGTAGACTTGTTGAAAACATTAGAAGTAGCAGTGGAATCCAACCTGATAGTAACATCACATTCATTTGAAGAGAGAACAGTAAAAACTGGTACACATTCTACACTCACAACAGCACGACAGCTGCATCTAGGAGTTGCCAGATGTGGACAGTCATTCAGCTGTAGACCTAGTTTGACAGTATACAATATAATTATTCCGAAGGTAAAGTCAACTCAGGAAGATTTCCCACAGTAATTATACAGGAGTCATATTCCAGAAGATACCATGTGTTATGTGAATGACTACCCAATGTGCTCTTCTATAAAGGATAGACCTATTCATTTGGAGTATGATGCTTTTATACTATATGGATAACTAAACAAAGGACAACAGAATAATGAAAATACTGTGTCTGTCTCAGTTCAAATAATGGTTGCATTCCTGAGCATGTTTCACTAAACTTTACACATCTCGAATATGCAATCCTAAGAAAATTGTGTCTGAAATACAAACTACTACATAGATCAAAATGCTTTAGCTGGGGATCACCTGGTTGACTCAGTCAGTTAAGCACCCAACTCCTGATTTTGGCTCCGGTCATGATCCCAGGATCATGGGATAGAGCCCCACATTGAGCCCCTTGTTGAGCTCTGCACTGGGCACAGAGCCTGCTTAGGATTCTCTCTCCCTCTCCCCTTTCCTTGCTCATTCTCTCTCCCTCTCTCTCTCTCTCTCTCTCTCTCTCTCAAAAAAACAAAAAAAAGCGTTCAAGCTGGATGTTTACCCCCTCATGTGTATTGATATGGTCATACTATAGATCACCATTGTTTCTGTCTCAAGCATACAAATAGGAACTGAAATAATATTATGTTCTACAAGTGACCTAAAATGCAGTATCGGGGTGTCTGGGTGGCTCAGTCGGTTAAGCGTCCGACTTCAGCTCAGGTCACGATCTTACAGTTTGTGGGTTCGAGCCCCGCGTCGGGTCCTGTGCAGACAGCTCAAAGCCTGGAGCCTGCTTCAGATGCTGTGTCTCCCTCTCTCTCTGCCTCTCCCCCGCTCATGCTCTGTCTCTCTCAAAAAGAAACATTACATGGGGCGCCTGGGTGGCGCAGTCGGTTGAGCGTCCGACTTCAGCCAGGTCACGATCTCGCGGTCCGGGAGTTCGAGCCCCGCGTCAGGCCCTGGACTGATGGCTCAGAGCCTGGAGCCTGTTTCCGATTCTGTGTCTCCCTCTCTCTCTGCCCCTCCCCCGTTCATGCTCTGTCTCTCTCTGTCACAAAAATAAATAAACGTTGAAAAAAAAAAAAAGAAACATTACAAAAAATAAAGTGCAATATCATCCATACGTTTTTCTCCTACTGTTTGCTGTTATATCTTAGTGTGTCTGGCTATTTTTGCAGAATTTCTCCTTGAAAAATAGGCAACTTTCTTTTTTGGGCTTCTGCTACCATTGGAAAGCACTACAGCTTACAAAAAGTGATTATGTTAAATATGGAAAGATGTAACAGATTTGTGTGCTAAAATTGAGAAAAGAAAGCAACTATGAACCTTGCCAGCACCTTCTTGCTATGACAAATAAAACATACTGTATAACAGAATTCCCACAAACCATTCACTTTCTTTCTTACTTAGTAGTGTCTTGACATCTCTTATTGTATAATCTAGAAACTACGTATTTAAATTTAATTAAAAATAATGGCATAGTTCTTATTTTCTGAAATATCTCAACCACAAATTGAGAATACCTTTAGGATGAGTTACACAGTTCAGGATGATGTTGCATGAAGGGAATTTTATGGGCAAATTGTTATTTTTGAAAGAATGATTCAGGCAATTTGGTAAGCTGGGCCACTACCTGCAAGGGTGCTCCCTGCCTGATTGCCCCACCCTAACCTGATCAGAGGCCTCTTATCATTTTTTCTCCATCATTCTTTGATTCTTTCCCTTGCTCCAGTAAGGAGGTCACATTTGATTTAGAAACAGAGAGTCCTGCTTACAAGAGGGAAAAAATAGATACTTCAAAATATTATGGTTCCTCCTAGATCCAGACCCAATCTCTTAATATAAAGGCAGAAAAGCTATTACAAGAAAAGCAAAAGCAGAAGGAAACAAGCAAGCCACTTCCCACTTGTACCAATTTTAATTCATTCTCTCAAGAATATGGAGAAGGAATCCAGGTGGGCAATTTAAAGCCCACTCCCTATTTCCTAAAGAGAAAGCAAAGATACCTAAGTTCAGGTTCTAAATTTGCAGGAATAGTAACCTTGGATGAGGTTCCCATAGTTGTCAGTCATCATGTTCCCATATAACTTCTGCTCAGGGTCCAATCAGCCCCTTCCTCCTGAGACAAGTCTATGGCCACGTCTCAATGTTACAAACCTCTAAAATGATAAATACATTTGGGGCGCCTGGGTGGCTCAGTTGGTTGAGCTTCCGACTTCGGCTCAGGTCACGATCTCACCGTCTGTGAGTTTGAGCCCTGCGTCGGGCTCTGTGCTGACAGCTCAGAGCCTGGAGCCTGCTTTGGATTCTGTGTCTCCCTCTCTCTCTAACCCTCCCCGCTCATGCTCTGTCTCTCGGTCTCAAAAATAAAATAAAACATTAAAAAAAATTAAAATGATAAATACATTTTTGTTCACCAAAGACCCCCATATGGTGCTAGGAAAATAATGCCAGGCACACCAAAGGAAAGGGAGGATTTGTACCACGGAGTTGTTCTGGTAGAGATTGAGGCTTGGAGAAAATTATTAGGTAGCAGTGATGTATGTCACAAGGAGTAGGAGAGAAAAATGCCAGCCTCTCACTTTGTGAAAGATTTACCCATACATGAAAAAAACAGACTTAAATAAGGCACTTATTAAAGTGCTAAGTTGCATATTATCTATATTAAATGCAAGGTAAGTTCTTAAAAGGAGGCAGACAGATGCTTGAAAGATACACCTTTAACTGGGACATTAAAAAATGGGCAAGGTGTACATGGAGAGTGAAAACATCATCTGATTTATTTTGACAAATACGTGCTTACAAAAGAAATGTTCCTACTGTAAATGGAACAAGAGGAAAAGTACCTTGGCATTTTCCTGTGACACACCTTATTTACATTTATTTCAGACTAAAACAGGTCTAGTCATATTCAAGGATAAACATGAGTTAGCATAACCTTAAATCTAAATTGTCTCACAGTTAAAGCCAAAATATATTAAAAAGGTTTCAGTAATCATGTATGTTTCAACAAAAGCGCATTACTCTTGTTAGTGATATCGATATTGTGGTAGTTGCATTTTCACAATCACAAATGTGTGGAAAAAACTCTGCAAGTACTAGATTAATTAACTAGAAAATAAAATATTTATTCATAGCTTTTTGAATTTGCTTTAAAGCAAAAATCACCTCACCCCCAAAAAAAGAAGAAAAAAAAAAAAAAAACACCTCCCACAGATTCCCTCCAGTATGACTTCTCAGAACTCTTAAGATTTTGCCACACTCATTAGAATGGTAGTTTTTCCCCCAGTATAATTCTGTAGTTTGATATAATGCAGAAAATCACCCTATATTCAGTTCATTTATAGTGTTGTGTTTTCTCTTTAAAAGAGTATTTTAAAACCTAATAAATACTGCATGGTACAAAAAACACTCCTGAATCATTGTGTTTGCATGACTTTGCTTCATTATGAATTTTCTGATGTCCAAGAAAAAGTGCAATCTTACCCACACATTCTGCCCTGTTTGAGCCGACAGATGCAGAATTAGGGCCAATTTGTAGTTAAAAGCTTTCTCACATCTATTGGCCACATATCCTTGTCTGGTAGGAAGTTTCAAATGTAGAGTAAAGGAATCTCACCAAATGAAGGCTTCTCAGTATTGACTGATTTCATCTTCTGATATTACAAAAAGAATGCAAAGCTATTAATGGCTTTCCCACATATTCCTAGGTTATTTTTTCTCCAGGATGTTGAATCAAGTATGACCCATTTTTCTTCACATTGAACATATTCACATAAGGCTTCTTTCCAAGAATCCTTTGAAGTCAAAGTTAAGGCATTAACTGTTTGCTTTTCTTAATCCATATTCTTATGTTTTCTCTATAGCGTGAATTTCTTTGTGTTCAGTAAGGAACGAGTGATAATTAAATGAATTCTCATATTCATAAGGGTTCTCTAGAGTGTGTGTTCTCTGATGTTTGGCAAGGTTTGAGCTCCAGCTGAAGGACTTATTGCAAAACTTACATACATAGGGCTTCTCCCCAGTGTGAGTTATCTGATGTAGAATGAGGGAAAAGCTCCGGCTAAAGGTTTTATCACATTCAGTACACGCATAGGGCTTTTCTCCAGTATGAATTTTCATATGTTGCATAAGGGATGCATGCCACGTGAAAACTTTACCACAGTCATCGCATTCATAGAGCTTTTCTCCAGCATGAATTCTCTGATGTTTAATAAGGAATGAGTGGCATCGGAAGGCTTTCCTACACTCATTACACTCATAGGGGGTTTTGGTAGTATGGATGCTCTGATGCCGAGTAAGGTGTGAAGAACGGCGAAATGCCTTCCCACATTCAATGCATTCATAAGGTTTCTCTCCGGTATGTGTGATCTGATGGCGAATGAGTTCTGAGCCACTGCTAAAGGCTTTCCCACATTTCCTACATATATACTGTTTCTTTCCTATATGAATTCTCTGATGTCGAGTGAGGTTTGAGGCACGGCTAAAGGCCTTTCCACATTCAGTACATTCATAGGGTTTCTCCCCAGTATGTGTTCTCTGGTGTTCAATAAGGAATGAGAGATAACTGAACGTTTTATTACAGTCCTTACACTCATGGGGTTTCTTTCCAGTATGTATCATCTGATGTTTCACAAGGTTTGAGATCTGGCTAAAGGTTTTGCCACATTCCTTACATACGTATGGTTTCTCTCCAGTATGAGTTCTCTGATGTAGCACAAGGGAAAAGCGCCGACTGAAAGTCTTCCCACATTCATGACATCCATGGGGCCTCTCCACAGTATTGATACTCGTGTGCTGAGACAGGGCTCCCTGATGAGACACTGTTCCTTGCCGGATACAACCCTGATTTCCTTGCATCTGAGTATCTTCCTCGAATTTCCAGCCTCCTTTAAAACTGGAATATTCAGGGCCGTGGCTTAGAATTCTTTCCACTACCAAACACTGGGGTGAGTCATCTTCATAAATGACATTTTTTTGAGAAAACTCTTTGACCTCACGATTTGGTTCTGAAAATGAAAAAACAAAGCAGTTGTTTCTCTTTTTTTGTGTAGAGTAAGATAAAGCCACTCCACTTTTTTAATGAGAGATTTTTTAAAAAGGCATCTCAGCAGTGCATAGCTTTCACAGTTTTTGTAGTTCTCGTGGAGACTGAAATCAGAACAGTAAGCCCAGAAATTCAGAACATATCAGAGGGGAGATGTAGGTAAATAACAAGAAAAGCTAAGTAGAAGTAACTGAAGAGGGAGGATAAAACAGAACACGAAGATAAATAATTGGGAAGGATGGGTTTTAGTCCTCAGCTCCACTTAAACTTTATCTGAGGCCAAAATGACTTGAGAAAGACAATTTCATAATGCTGCTAATAAACCACAAATGTTCCTCACGTCCCACAAAGACATCACACTCTGTTTACTTAATGCCTTTGGAACACCTTACAGTAACTTATTCTAAAATTTTTTTTTCAACGTTTATTTATTTTTGGGACAGAGAGAGACAGAGCATGAACGGGGGAGGGGCAGAGAGAGAGGGAGACACAGAATCGGAAACAGGCTCCAGGCTCTGAGCCATCAGCCCAGAGCCCGACGCGGGGCTCGAACTCACGGACTGCGAGATCGTGACCTGGCTGAAGTCGGACGCTTAACCGACTGCGCCACCCAGGCGCCCCGCAGTAACTTATTCTAAATGGCCAAATAAGTAAAAGGTACCTCTGACAATGACGGTCTATGACCCTCACTCTAACTCTACTTTCCAAACTGACAGCTGACACTCTACTTTGGTATAACAGTGTCTTTCCATCAGATGCTTTTGATAGACAAACATAGGCCCCGATTTTCTCCAGGCTAACTTTATCATTTTGGGGGGGAAACAGAAACTATAATATGAATAATATGAAGACTTTTTAAAAAATATATTCACTCATATCCTAATTCTTAGGAAATATGTAGGAGTAAAAGGCCATGATGTATGCAACTTATTCTCAGATGTTTCAAGAAAAAAAGCATATACCAAAGGATAGAACAAACAAGGTAAAATGTCAGCAGTAGGTAAATTTCAGTAACAAGCTTGTGGTTATTCTTTATACTATTCTTGCAAGCTTTCTGGAAGTTTAAAATTGTATCCAGAAACACATTAAAAACTTCATTTTCCTCTAAAACACACTGTGACATTTATTTTGTTTGAGGGGGTGCTATCTTTTATTATCACTGACCATAAGCTTCTAGGAAATATAAATAGATCTATTGCTTTAATACATATCTGAACAAAGGATCAAGATCTATATTTATAGGGTAGGCATGTAAAAATGAAAGATTAAGATACAGGAAAGAGTGAAATAACAGTTAAGAAAATGATCTCAATAAAGCAAAAATATTTTTTTTTAATGCTTATTTATTTTTGAGAGACAGAGAGAGAGCACAAGCAGCGTGGGACAAAGAGAGAGGGAGACAGAGAATCCGAAACAGGCTCCAGGCTCCGAGCTGTCAGACAGAGTCCGACACAGGGCTTGAACCTGCGAGATCATGTCCTGAGCTGAAGTCGGATGCTTAATCAACTAAGCCACCCAGGCGCCCCAATAAAGGGAAAATCTCACATTACTTTCCTGACTCCTCTATAAACCAATCTCATATCTACTGAGCACCTCAGTAAGAGCCCTGGGGATATAAACTGAATAATTCTTTTCATGAGCTGAGAAATTAAATAGGGAGATAAAGAGGACACAGAAGAAAACAATAATGTAAGAAAGGAGTAAATTCATTATATTTAGAATAAAAATTGTATAAAAGATTAGAAACAACACATAAAAATCACTGCAACAGATAAACAAAGGCTTCATTCAGGAAATTAGTTGGGAACTGAAATATATTATAAGTCAGGTGAACCTAGATATTTCATGATATTAGAAAAAGCCATTGATGTTAACTGCACACAGTTAGTATATTATCTGCCATATGGTTTCCCAGACCATTGAGAGTCAAAAGCACAACCAAGAAAATTAGGTACAAGACATAAATAGAACGCTAATTATATATTCCTCACCCCCCTCTTCCTTCACTCAACATCACCTCCCCTTCTTCCATCGCCTACTATGCCCACACGCTTTTTGGTAATTCCCAAATGGATCTGCTATAACAAAGCACTTACACTTATTAAAAGCCTAAAGAGATACAAAGATTCATTCTCAATGTAACAAAGGGTTCCTATGATAAATCAAAACCTAATATGCTCAAAGCAAAAAATTTTAGATGCATTGACTCTCTTCTCATGAAAAAAAAATCCTCTATCACGTTACTTAAGATCATTGAGGAAGTACTTCACGTACTACAATGTTGACAGAAAAAAAATCCACCAACCTAGAATTGTGTACCCTACAAAATTATACTTCAAAGGTGAAGGAGAAATAAAGATTTTCTGAGACAAAAACTGAGGAAACATACCATCAGGAGACATGCCTTGCAAGATCCAACACCCATTCATTAAAAAAAAAAAAAAAACAACAACAACAAAAAAAAACTCAACAAATTAGGAATAGAGTGGAATTTCCTCAAGCTATGAAGAACACCAAAAAATCTACAGGTAACGTCAGACTTAATGGTGAAAAATCTGAAGCTTTCCTGCTAAATGTGAACACAGGAAGGATGTCCCTTCTCAGCACTGCTTTTCAATGCCATGATGGAATTCTTAGTTAATGTAAAAAGACATGAAAAGGGGGTGCCTGGGTGGGTCAGTCAGTTAGGCGTCTGACTTCAGCTCAGGTCACGATCTCGTGGTTCATGAGTTCAAGCCCCGCGTCAGGCCCTGTGCTGACGGCTCGGAGCCTGGAGCCTGCTTCCAATGCTGTGTCTCCCTCTCTCTCTGCCCCTCCCTGGCTCATGCTCTGTTGGTCTCTCTCTCTC